TGGGATAGGGATAGGTTACCCAAACGGCCTTTCTGTAAATAGGATTTATAAATGAACAGGACAAGGGAGGCAAGCTTTTCCCCACCAAAACCACCCCAGGCTAAAAGTTCCTCATAGGAGCTTTAAAGTACTGAATTTGCCTGAATGTTGAAAAATCATGTTTTTTAATAAGAAGGCAATAACTGGCATTAATGATGGAATAACATATTAAATGTATTTTAGACTTTGATTGTCAGATTAAAACAATTCAACTTTAAAAAGACATTTAAAATGCTAGACCCCATCTTGTATTTGGATCATCATGGCACCACAAAGAATCAGGTCTGGTCAGCCCTGATGCAGATGTGACAAATAATGATATTAGGTACAGGAATCAAAACCACGTCATGTCATACGCCGTAAACATCTTTAATTCTGTATTGTTTGAATGAATGATAGGAAAGCTTTGTCTCTCTTTTTAACATCCTTTCTTCACTTGTCGAGGTTTTGTTTACTACCTGGCCTCCTAGTGACACATTTATGCTGTTCAACTTCTGGCTCAAAGCCTGGCGTGTGAACACTTGAGATTGCACAGAATGCTCAGGCCAGTTTTCTGAGAAAATCCATCCACAACTGGGTTATCTAGTTATTTTAGTCCGTCTATAAGAAGTTCGATCACAGTCAGACTTATTTGTTTACATTATCTTTAAAGTCCAGTTTTAGTCCAACAAAGGCCATGAATTAATTTTTTTTAACAGCATGTAAACATACTAATCGTCTCTGTTTTCAACTCTAGAGACTGCTGCTTGTATGTGACCAGACACCTCCTTAGTTCTTGGAGAGCTTGCCACAGGTGAGCAGGAATCCAAGTTTGCTGCGGCATGTTTGTGATTTGGCAGTACAGTAACGACAGTAATGCCGTCATGTAACCACAAAAACTTGGCTTTTGATGAAATCGTCTCACAAGAACAAGTGTCCAGAAAAAAGACATCCCACTCCACCTCTGCCTGTTTGTGATGAAGGGCTCCTCTCGCTGTGAGAGTGAAAGAGACAGGCTGGGCTGGCTGTCATGTCATAAAGGATGCAGTCAGAGAGAGCAGACATGATTTCATGGCTAATGATTCCCACACTAATATCAGTGTGGGCTGCAGAGGGGGATAACCAAGTTGAGCTGTCTTAGCTCAAATGATTCAATTAGGCCAGCTGTCCCTATTTGTCATGGCTCAACTGGCTTCTAGATTACCTTTCCAGAGCGCATACGTGCCTCTGCATTGAACTTACCAGCTCAACAGTTTCAGAAAAAAACAAAGACAGAAGAGTGCGTATGAGGAAGAAAGGGAAGAGTGGTGAAGGGGAAGAAATGAAACAAAGAATGCAGTAATAACCGTTTTATCCACTTAAACGCCAGGGCCAATTATGGAGATAAATGTGACTTTTTGTTTCATGGAGGATCCTTGCAGTGACATCAGAAAAGAGCCTTGGAGCATGATAAAAAGACGCTGTAGTGTAAATGGAAAAGTGATCACTACAAGAATGACAACAGACGAGGCGATGTGGAGGTGAAGAGGAGAGAAATGAGACAGAGGATTTTAAAAAACAAATTTTTTTATCGACCTAAATAATCTGAAAGGATTTTTTTAACATGTAAAATGATTCATAAGCTGTTTCTACCATAAAATGCTAAATAACGCTGAAAAAAAAAACAGGAGCAGCCACTGACGCACTCCCCTGCTCCACCTTTCCTTCCCTGAGCCTCAATTAAGTGTGTGATAAGTATTAAATTCAAAGAAGCACTGGAGTCATTAGTACTGATTGAGTTGATGACTCTGAGGGCGATGTCTTCCTCTTTTCACTTTAATGTAGTTAAACGTAAATTTGTGTCAACTAACCTCATCAGATCCAATTAACACAATTGTCAGTTTTGGGTCAGGGAGTATCGCAGGAGAGGATGAGACACTAAAATGGTATAATATCTCGTTTATTAAAGGTAATTAGTTGTGTAAGCATTATTCGTGCTGTCACTTAATACGAAGCCTATAAACCATGAGATGTACAGTATCTCTGCTTCACACACACAACGTAAAGCGAGGTGAAGCTCGATTAGATGTGACTTCTTCCAAATAAACAACATCCTATTAAAAGCAGGGACGTAACCGGCTTCGTGGATCGTGTGCTCAATGCTTATGCAGCCATAAAAGCACAAATGATGTTTCGTTTTCACTTCCTCACAACTAAACACTACAATAACACATTACTCTACACTCCAGAAGACAAGAAATAAAAGGTTTTATCCTCGGGGAGGGATATTTGAGCAGCTCAACAGGACAAAACATACCATATATACCATGTAAATGCCTATGTACTGCTTACATGGCTTGCCAAGGGAGTGGAAATAATAAGATTATATGGTTGTGTAGATCTAAGCTATAAAACTTTATGAGTGATTTGTGTGTTTATAAGCTCCATAAAATTTAAAAGAAGAGTTACTTTTTATCATTAAACGATGAATTTAAACATCATGAATACTATTTTTGCTGTTGTTACCAGAACACAAATTAAGTCCTGTTTCTTTCAACTTAAATCTAATAAAAAAAATAAGCCCTTTATTCTTTTTTAGTCTGAAATAAAATCCTGCTTGTACACAGTCATGGTTTATTCACTTGCTACTGCACTTATGTGTTTGTTAGGGTTGAACTGAGCTCTGCAGAACGAGGGCAAAGCCTCGCCCCAGAGCTGTCAAAGCTGTGACTGGGATCAGCCTTATTACAATGATTGAGAGAACAGGCCTTTGCAGCACAAACACCATCCAGAGGGACTAGAAAGGCCACGTTCATACAATCGAGTTCACACATTTGTCTTCATTAGTGCGATTTCGTTCTGTTTTGTCAGTTTTGCAACCAAACACTTACACACTTATACAGTCGGCTCGGAGATAAAGGGACCAGGTATTGCCAGGGGTGACACCATTGATACAGTAAATAGCAGTGCTTCATGTTGCAGCTGAGAAGATCCCTCAGGTGCTGGTGTTTTTGAGCCTTTTACCACCAAGAATGTGATGATAGCAACATAAAATTAAATGAACTGCATTTTTATCTCTAAATGGATCGAATAAGCACATAGACCTTTTCGGGTTATTTATAATTACATCATGTTCCCACAGAGCTTTATCCTCCACCTTTTTGTGTCTTCTGACTTTTATACTGAGGAGCTCGAGGACAGGAAGATGAGTCAGATATGACTGATTTCAGATGAATTTAGCATATGCTGTCAACGTGCTATTTTGCTGTTGAGATCTTTATCACTCAGGCCAAATTGTGACTAACACTCAGAGTTGACAGGCTCAGGAGTACAGAACGTCATTACTGCCTTATCTTTAGAGATGGAGCGAGGTGTCAATGACACTTCTGCTGCATGCAGGCAGCAGCTGAGCTGTGAGATGTCCTGGCACACAGCACAGTCTGTGTCGCCAGACACCCAGAATCTTTACCTTTTAATTACAGGAATATTTAGAGCCAGCATATGATGCAATTTGTACCAGTACAGACTGGACAACTGTTTTGTTATCTCTAAGTTAATAACTGCACAACAGCTCTGGATGAAATTGCGCTTTTCCTTAAACATGCACGAAAGTTTTAATGAAAAGTAGCTCTAGTTGGGGTTGGGGTAAATACCCCTATAATATCAGTAAAATAAAAAGCCAGTAAACAGCGTTATCTTAAATTTACCTGAAACAAGGGGAAATGGCTAGCTTCACTCTGGCAAAAAGTGCTGTAACAACACTGCTAAAAGAAAATAGACCTCAAAAACATCTATCCAAAACAATGACAGTTTGTTCTTACATTAATGACAAGCAGTTCATGTGTTAAGAGTCAAGATTTAAAGCACTGAGAGGTATTTTCTTTGACAAAACAAAACAATCTTTTTCATTGTCTTAAATCTCTGCGCTAAGCAAGATGAGCTATCTAGCTGTTTATATTTACATGTTAAAAACGTATTAATGGGAACAGCAGAAATCTGATGTGACTCCATAAACCAAGTTTTTTTTTCAGTGAAGTTGATTATCCCCAAATCTCTGGTGTAGCCTAGCCAATAAGTAGCCATTAGCTGTCAGCCAGCTAGCAACCTACCGCTGCATTATCTTTGTGTGTTTTTACTCAGCTAATAGCCTTTGACAGTTCAAAATAATCACCAATTACTCTGTTTTATTTCATTCGCTTAGTTTTTGCAAGCCTTTAAGGCACACATGTGGACAAATGGCATAAGCTTCTCAAACCCCCTATTTGAATGACCTACGACAGTGACTAAAAGCATTGTGTTTATTGTTGCTTATAAACTCAGCTAAAGCTTAAAACATTTACATTAGCCATTCATCTTCAATCGATAGATAACCTCTATCCCATTGGAACCAAACTCTTCACATGCTGGTCAGGACAGAGATTGGTAACACTTTACAATAACCATAACTTGGTAAATAGACCATTTATAAATGGTAAGCAGATAGTGTATTAATGTTTAATCATCATTTATAAATAGCATATAGACCACTATTAAATTGTTAACATTACAATTGAAAAAATCCTAACCCTAACCTTAACTTAACAATAACCATGTAAGTAATGTTTATAGATGGTTTAAAAACCAAATATTAACCATTTACAAAGTGCTACTGACACACATTTTAATCTAGATGTTTTACAACCAATAATTAAACCTTATAAAAACCTTTAATAAATAGTCCATTAATGATTAATGAAAATTATTGATCATAATTTTATTGCTTGTTAATAGAAAAATAACCATTAACTTACATTTATAAACTATCTATTTGCCATTTATAATTGGTTTATATGCTGTTTTTAAATGATGATCAAACATTAATAAACTATCTGTTTACCATTTATAAATTATGGTTATTGTAAAGTGTCACCCAGAGATCAAACCCAATGTAAAAAACCTCACAGCATTGAATTCATAATTAAGCTTTAGTCTCCTCTTAGTTAATGTCTTGTATCTTTTCTCAGTTTTCGTCCTCTATCAGAGTGCTTTGCCTGGCTGGAGAGCAGAGAAAACAGAGATTCTCCTCACCTGCTCCCTTCACCCCCCCCTTTCTCCTCCATGTGTACCTGCAGCACTAGACTGCACTGCATCATGGGTGCTGCTGAGGCCATGCCAAAACCCAATTTGGATTGTGTCCAGCGCTTCATTGGAAAGTAATGGTTTTCACTGAACTGAGTTATGACCAGCTGTTTGCAGACAGTCTGTGACATACTGATGGAGCAGAACACCGTATGTTGCTTTCCAAATCAAATGATACAAGGAGTGTGACAGTGTGGAGAAACATCTGTCATTAGCAATTTTCAGCACGCTCCGCTAATTCTGGACAAAATACGCCTAATGAAGTTACTGCAGGAAACTTCAAATATTGTCAGTGCAACAAGGCCATAAGAAGCCGGTGCTCACCAAGGCCTGTGATCAGATCCATTTGTTGTGAGGGAAATACAGACAGAGGAGGGTAATTGTTTTTGATCATGCTGTTTTAAAATGCAAATGGAAAACATTCTTCTTTAATCCAAGAACAAAAACCCAAGAAATCAAGGCCGAGAGGGTGGCCGGCTTTTCTTTATTGATGTCCCCTCCCTTGTAGTGGTGCTTCATAGATGGAGTTTCCGCATGCGGGGGGACAACAAGGCTTTGATGGGCTCTGGTTATCAAGTTCAGTCACCAACATAAAACTAATGCTAAAATCTCATCTGTTGCAGAAAGCTCTCTGTTCGGAGGATCAGGCTGCTCTCCAAACTGTCTCACAGGTTGTACCTTTGGCGGATTTTTTTTTAAATAAATAGAGACTGAAATTTGATCCTGAAGTTTTACATTTTTCGCACTTGTTAAAACAATCACATCTTGATTTGCTTTGGCACAGAAACGCTAAATAAGATTGCCTCATCCCAGCCTCTTTGGTTCAATATTGAGTTGAAATGTAGCCTATAAGTCTAGCACTAACAATATTCATTTGGCCATTCTGCATTTGTAATTTGCCAGTTTTCCGAGAACTGTCCTCAATTTATTCAGCCTGTGCTGTGAGGATGAGAGGGTTTGTGACAGGCAGCTCTGCAGAAAGTGGTCCTCTCCTCCAGAACAGTTGTTGTAGTGAGAAGTGTTAGAGACGGGTGGGCGTCTGGACCCAAGTATGCTGATCAAACACGAGGCCTGTGTCTATCTGGCAGCCATCTCCTGGCGGCAGAAGGGCCATAAACCCGCCTGTGTTAATTCTGCCGTAATTATCATGGGTGCCACATGTTATGCAGGATGTCCTACCACTGCAGATCCACTCGAAAGTTTGCGGTGAAATCCTTCCACACTGCTCAAAGCTGTGGCAGACGAGCGGATGCAGAGGGTGACAGTTGGCCATTGTGATTAGAAAAGGGCCGCTCCTGGAGCCCTGCCCCACATCTCATTTCCTGTCGCGGCCCTTTGTAATGATGTGTTTTATGCTGTGCATGTTGGTGAATAACTGGCTGCACTGAGATGACAATAATCACCCATAATGCCCCAAGGGAGGGGGCGGCCTCTCTCAGGGACAACATTAGTCATAAATATGCAAAACGGCTGCTGTCCTTACTGCACAAACATGCTTTGTTTCAGTTCAAGGTTGCTCTCTCTGTACACTTAAAAGGACGTTATTTAAAAGAATGCATCCATTCAGAAAAGTTAATAAATTTAAACCAAATGAGACTCTTAAGTGTTTCGAATTTCACATTACTGAAAATCAGAGGATCTTACACAAGGATGCGCAAGGCTAACCTGAATAAAAATGTCTGATTGGTTTAGCAGTTACACATTCATCCAATAATCTGTTAATGAATCTGAAATTTTACCATTACCAATTACTCTCAGCCTCAGTGGTCCTCTTGTTGTAAGAGCTAATAAGTACTCTTCTTTCCTGGGAAAGCCACCAGTGGCCCCTCTTAGCCTGCCTGGGCCGTGCTTTGGCAGGCCTGCAAGCTTTAGCACCCTGTGCAGTCGCACCCTCTCTCCCAGTCAGTGCTGAAGGCCTTGTGTGTCTCTCATCTTAACCTTCTCTTACTCCTGCACTCCTGCCATCCATCTGTCAGAAAACACTTTCTTCCTGTTGTCCTGCAATTGTGACAAGATCACCCACATGCTCCCCTCTTGTGGTCCTTTCACATGGAGCAAAACCGTGCACACAGATACTGTTTTCCCACACATGTAGTAAACTGTTACACCTCATTCTTTCATACATTTTCACATATACAGTAGACAGAAAATCTAGTCGTTGCCGTGGAAGTGGGTACCCTGATTTTGCATCTCTGTAGACTCATCAGTATTAACATATCGTTCAGTTTCCAGAGGGATCAGGCCAGTGACATCTCCACATGTCTGTCAGGTTAGTGAATGTCTCCCCGCCTAAATCAGCTGACGTTGATTTGTGAGCATAATGCTTGATTATAGGACGGGTGACAGATAAATTTTATCAAAATTAAGGCACAATTAAACATTTCATCTGCGCTAATTACTGGCTGTAGATTTGGCAAGATGACCATGTGCTGTAGGAAATCAGCAACCATAACACATTTTAATGGGGCACAGCTGTCTTACAGCTTGGTAATATTTGCACAGTGCACCAGAACTGTAATTTATGGGACAGAGAGAGGGAGAAAATCTGCATGGGATTGAGTGCCAGAATAGAGTTTGAATTTATATTCTTTAATGAGGTTTGGATTTGCTGCTGCTGGTTGTTTCTTACCAGAGATTGATGTGGGTGCTGCAGTGTCTTGATGCATCTGGGATGAGATGATTATCACTTATATCTGTCTGCAGTTTGCACTCAACTGATGCTAATGCAGCACTCGTAGCATTTCATTTTTTTTTCTTAGAGGCAAGCTGAAAAAGAAGGTAGGTTTTCAGCGTGTACACACTGGACAGACTTGATGGGTTCACGCTAAAGTAATCAGCCCCACTATCCACTTGTGCCAAGGAATAAGCCTGGGAAATTCACCAAAATGTGGGAACAGCTTGGGAACAGATTGATGCAGAAGGGTGAAAAAGGCTGAGAGTGAGTGTATGTGTGTGCTGAGATGGGTGTGTATGTGTGTATGTGATCTCTAAGCTAATTCCAAGGCAAACAAGAGGAAGCTTCTTCTAAGTAACTCAGCTCTGCTTTGCTCCGATGCTATTTCTCCTGTGGGGTATAGCATAGCCTCTTCAATTATAGAGAAGTTTGGCCACCAAATCCCCTCCAAAACAGATATTTGATGCATTGTGAAGAATGTGAATTTCATCTGTTCACAATGATTGGATTTCATTTGTTAAAAGTTGGCGATTATTGGATGTTTTATGTTTAAATTTACACCTCAGCGGGGTCTGCAGCCTGAAATACTAATACTGCAGGGTGACCTCAGCAGATCCTATTTTAGATCCAAGAAGTTATCCTGTTGACTCACTCTGTCGTGTTGTTTAGTTCAACTATACAGAATTGTGGTCTTTTACACATTTGATTATATATTGTCTTCTTTTTTAATTTATATATTATTAGATATTGTAAAGTCTGCTTTTTTAAAAATATGTTACTCTTGTTTTTTTCACCCAAATCAAAGAAACAAAACATAATTAGCTGGAGGATTTCCCTACTCAAAACAACAGTGTGATCAGTCAAGATTTCCTGATTGATTTTTACCTTATTGTGTTAAAATTAACCCACTGTTGTTCCACCAAGTCTTCCTTGGACTGGACAGCAAATGGAAAGGGCTCAGTTGGACTGCACTGGCATGCTGCAGGCTGTGTTTGGTTGGAGCCCACCGAGGTTAATTTAACTGCTGTTTTCTGGGTGACACCTTCAGTCTGTGACAGGCCTGTGAGGGCTGGATGCTTGTGGCATTTTCCATGATACCCCACCGATCTGTACTTGGGCCTGATTCAGGTGCTGCTCTGTACAGTACACCCCCTGAAGGCTGAGCTGACCTTCTTTCATGAGCCATTATTTTCATGTTTGGTGTGGTGACGTTATGGTGCCGTATGGTCATTTTAGAGGGTCACACATTCTGTCTATGTGATGATTTTGTAGCAGATAATTTCAGCAGTCCATGACTAAAGTCCATGAAACTGTTAAAAATATCTTGAGCATTTTGACTGGTATCTATTTTGACTGGTTGTTTGATGGCAGGCTGAGATTGTGCAGATTACATTACCTGAATGCCTTTGCACTCTGCTTATAAAAATGAGGCATCTTAAAACTATCCTGCGGTCGTTACTAAAGTTGGTGTAACTAGAGAAGCAAGCGGTCAGCAACATTCATCTCTCGAGGGGGTGTCTAACCAGTCAGTTAACTGCATGTGTACATTTTTATGGGTATTGTAAAACATTTTGTTCATGTTTTTACTTTCAGAAAAGTTTTTTGAGAAATAGATTTACTAAAGAAAAAATAACCGTATTGTATCGTATCATACCACATTAATATAATAATAATAACATTTATCTATATTGCACCTTACAACATTCAGAGAGATGAACAAAGTGCTTCACATAACAAATACTCGGTTAAATACACATTAGATTATATTGTACCATATCCAATTGTATTGTGTTGCATTGTATTATACCTTATCCTATCATGTCATATCGTATCATATCGCATCATATCATATTGTATCGTATCGTATCGTATTGCATTAATGGTGCATGTCTTGTTGTATCGTAACATATCGTATTGTATCGCACATAATATAATGTCATACAACATCATATTGTTTCATATTGAATCGTATCATACCCTGTTGAATTGTATAGTGCGATGTTCAGTTTTATTGTGTCGTAATGTATCTCATATCATGTGGCATCCTGTTGTATTCTGGTGTACTGTATTTTAATTGTATTGTATTGTATCCCATCTTTCCCAACATGTCATCTCATGACAAAAGGTATCCTGTCATATTAAATTGTACCTTTTTTTTTTATCAATCGTTAAACCTAAGTTTTACAGACTCTGGGGATGTGAATCATTTGAAAATCTGGCGTCATGAATGAGAAAAACTCAGAAGTTTTGAGATTTAATACTATCTCAAATTTAATTGGCACAGAATACATGCAGACTAATTAAGATTAAATTGTTCTTTGGTTATCCTTTTTTCCCAAAAATGGCTGGGATGATTTATTTATAAATTTAATGGCTATTTGCACATTTTTGCAGAGGTTA